TTATTATTTTGTGTGCGTGTACCGTCAAATCAGATCTGACTGGTACAGGAGGATATTGCGCCTCCTTCTCCGGCAGAGCATCTGGTGGATTCGAACCATGTTCCTCTGGGATTGCAGTGCAGCTTCTTGCCACTAGGCCACCAGAGCTCCCCTTCCCCCTAGGCTCTTGCACTACTTCCGGGGCCGCCACCACCTGGAGGAGATCATGTACAATGAGAACACACGGCGTTCCCAGCTGCTCATGCTCTTCGACAAGTTCCGAAGTGTGCTGGTGGTGACCACCCACGAGGACCCTGTCATTGCTGTCTTCCAGGCTTTGCTGCAGTGAGGCAGCACTCGGGTGGGGGATGTGGTGCATCCCTCAAACCCCTTCTCTTCCTGCATCTGTCCCCCATCTGAGCGCCTTCACATGGGGTGCCAAGGCCTGAGTATCATCGGTGTCAGCCACAGCATGACATGTGGAAGGGTGGTCCCTGGTCCCCACAGGAGCACTGAGAGGGTATTCAGGCTGGGTCTGGTGCACAGAGACCCCACACATGGAACGCCACCCTCCTGCACATAAGCATCACTGGTTTGAGTCTCTTGACAGTGAAGGCCTCAGGCCAGGACACCACTGTTCTAGAAACAAAAGAATTTATTTGGTTTATAGACAGTTAAAAGTCTGCCACTCATGTCTGCATCTGCTCAGCTGTCTTGTCCACCACGCTGACAAAGGGGCTGCCCCGCATGTAGAAACGCAGGGGCTTCTGGGTCCATTCTCCTGCACGGCCAATGCCCACCCGGGCTGCAGCCACCACAGCTGGCTCAGGTCCCGGGGGGCCGTGCTCCATCCACACTGCCCCGTCCGTGGCCAGGTCCCGCTGGTCGAAGGTCTTGTCGATGGCCAGCGCCTGGCACAGCTTGGAGGGTCCATTGCAGAGCTCCCGATCCTTGAGGGCCCGGCCAGAGGTGCCTTTCCCTAGGGTGGTTCTCAGCTGTCGCATGCTCTCCAGACCCCCAAGGGGCTCCAGTGCTCGAAGCAGGACACATGCCCCCTCTCCTGCAGGACAAATGGACTAGTTAGGCAGGAAGCCACCCTGACCCCACACACAAATGATACCTCGGGGTACAGATCTTCTGTTCACTCCTACACCTACTGTCCTGGGCTCAACAGCCACCACCACAAAGTCCCAGAGCCCATTCATAACCACAGCTTTGGGGACCCAGCCCACCAACCAGGCTCAGTCCACCTGGACACGTGGGAAGCTGGCCCCATTTGTGCAAGAGACTGGGAACAGCTGTAACGCAAGGTAGGGTATTCATATGGCCAACCTCAGATGTCCCCCTTCCACCCACTTTGGCTGATTCAGAGACCTAGGGAACATCTATCCAGATTCTCTGCTCAGGGAGGTGGGAAAGGCCTCCGAGTTCCCACAGATCAAACAAGTGTGATGATCACCAACAAGCCCTCCCTACAGACACACTACACAGACCAACCTGTATACTCCCACTGGCTAGACTGGATGTGTATCACTCACCCACCTGGCTTGGACCAACCCGTGTACTGCCCACTCCTCACTCTCAGATGGAAGGCCAGAACGGAGCTTGAGACAGCTAGCCTTTGGGAGCCCTTAGACCCACTGCTGCCTTGATGGCACCTGGGAACCAGACTGGTTGAAACAGCACTTAAACATCCAGTCCAGCCTGTAAGCTCAAGACTACTCTCAACTGGTCAATTTTTAAATGTGAGATTCTGAGAATAAAAAATCCTGTTCCACTCACCCTGCCCCCCATGTGACCCCAACCTCCAAGACATGCCCATCTTTCTACGTCAGGGGTGAAGAAGCAACTGGCCTGCCCACCCCACCTTCCCACTCTGGTCCCTTCCCTCAGAGCATCTGTGTTCACATCCCAGTAGTAAAGGAAGCCTATCACCTTGATATCCTTCCTGTGAGCTGATCTGTGGACCTTCCTCTTTGAACCCAGCCCCTGTGCTCTGCCACTTCCTATTGGAATGACCCAGGATCCTGCCACCCCCAGGCCTGGACTTTTTGGAGCAGCTTAGTTCTGAGACCGGGAAGTGAATCCTTACCTCAACAACCTAATCTTCTGCCACAGAAACCCGCTGCCAGAGGTCCTCACTGTTCTCAGTTGGGTCCCCTGAGTTCACATATGGGCCAACGCAGGGTGTGGGTGGGCTTCCACCATCTGACCTCTGCTTTGCTCAGTCATGTTAGGCTTGTCCATGTAGCTCAGATGGGGCCCAATCCAGGGTCTTCTGCTCTAGTGCTGGGCAACCAGAGTCACCATACCTGATATGGGACCTGCGATGTGATGGCATTTCAGCCCCCCCACATAATGAACTTTGTTAGCCAGGGGCACAGACCCTTCCAGCTTCTTCCTCCCCAAGTATGACCATTAAGGACCCCGAGGGAGTTCAGAGGATCCCTGTACCTGGCATCTGCTAACGCCACAGCTTTTTTTTTTTTTAAATTTTTGTGTGAGTGTACCGTCAAATCAGATCTGACTGGTACAGGAGGAGATTGTCCCTCCTTCCCCGGCAGAGCATCTGGTGGATTCGAACCGTGCGCCTCGTATTGTAGTTGCAGCTCCTTGCCACTAGGCCACCAGAGCTCCCCCTACTCCATAGCTTTTAACAAAATTAGATCTCCAGACACAGTGTCCCCTGTGGTCACCTGGGCCCTGTAAGAAAGTGGTCTGGCGCGCCACCTGCTGTGGGTTCTCTCTCCTCTCCTCCTTGGTCCACCTGAAGCCAAGTGACACCAGAGTCCACGGCATCTGTTTGGTCTTAACCCTAGATCCATCCCTCCTGTCCCTGGTCAGTGCCATAGACCCACCTGGCCAAGTGCTTGCTCACTTACCAATTCAGCCTTGTCTGGGGCCTATGCATCACCCACTCCACCTGATCCCCACCCAGCCTGGTTTCTGTACCTGACACCCTGCTCATGCAGCCCTCACCCATCCCTCCCCTGGGCCCTGCCCCTCCCACCCTGCTCACCCTGACTGGAGACATTGAGGCAGAAGTACATGCCATAGATGATGTACACGTACAGGGTGCCTGGCTTCATGAACATTCCACGGTTCCGGGTTGTCTGCCGGCCACCTCTTGAGTGAGCTGCCTCGTCCTCAGGGCCCAGGTACGCCTCAGTCTCCACGATGCGGCCTCGCAGCTCTGTGCCATCGTCCAGCCGCCTCACCAGTACCTGCCAGCCACACTGACTGCTTGGGCCAAGGAGGGCTGTACCCCAACCCCACCCACACCCTCACAGTCCTGGATCCCATGCCAGGTGCCCCCATGGCTTTTGCTTCCTGGTCTGAGCTACCAGCTGTCTGTTCCTTGACCACCAGCTCTGCCAAAGGTTTCAGCCCCTCGGTAAACCAGCACCTGTAGGCCATGCTCCCACTAGGATGCTCAATGCTTAGTAAGAGGCTGGGTGTGGGCCACGGAGAGGCAGTACTGTGTCCTGACAAGCCACTTGGAGCCCCACCCCACAGCCATCCAGGCCGCCACAAAGGACCCCCACGTGCTTCCGCCGGCCAGCTCTGGATGGCTGCCCAGGCTCCCGAGCCTTTCAAAGGGCCTTTCTGAGGGAGAGCCAGCTGCCCTGTGGTGCTTCCGGTCAGTGCAGGCGGGTGGGGGAGAGCAAAGCAGTGCTTCCGGTCAATGCAGGCGGCTGAGGGTCGCCCAGGCAGCCACTCCCTCTGACCACATCTGGACCTGGCAGGGAGATGCAGGTCCCTGGGGACTGACAGGTTTCAAGTCTAGCTGGGGGCTCTGGCTGGAAGGCAGGGGCTCTGAAACAGGAGGGCACCTTGGAAAGCAGCCCAGACCTCATGCAGGGGAAGGGATCTCTTGGGGAGTGAGTGCCAAGTGTGCCTGGGAACCAAAGCCAAATGGCCTGTCCCTGGCTGTGTAGCATGATTGTAGCCTGTGCCCACCTCCCCCTTAGACCAGGTCAGCCCAATCCATGGTCTTGTGCTGCAGCCCAAGAACCCTGTGCTCGTACCACAGCTGGGAAGAAACAAGGAAGGACCCAAGGGGGAGCAATCTGGAAGCAGTGGCCAAAAAGAGGAGAAAGGGGAGATGGAGGTGAAAGTTGACGTCTCTCCTCTGGGAACCAACAGTTTCTGTACATCCACTTCTCCCCATGTAAAGCAAAGAGGAGTGAATAAAAGCAAAGATGTGTGGAAACAATTCGTCCAGGAACTAGGGGACCTACATCCCACAAATCTGAGACCAGAACTAGATGGTCTGGCTAACGCTGACCTCTAGTGCTCAGCTTTCTGCCAAACAATGGAAAGTCATAGTGAGTTACATGCTGAGCTGTTAACATGGGAGGTTTTAATCCAGCAGTCCCTCCAAGGGAGAATGAGGAGGCAGTGTGCTCCCATTAAGATATACAATCTGGCCCATCACAAAAGAAGAAATTCAACAGGTCATAGAAAGACTTCAGCATAAGAAAAGTCCTAGACCAGATGGCTTCACAGCTAAATCCTACCAAACATTCAGGGAAGATCTATCACCAATTAAATTATTTCAAAAAAATAAAAGAAGGAACACACAAGCACAACCCTAATTCTGAAACCAGGCAAAGACATTACCAAAAAAACCCACTACAGACCAATATCTCTCATGAATATTGATGCAAAAATCCTTACCAAAACCCTAGCGAGAAGAATCCAAAAGCACATAAAAAAAAGTTCATCATGACCAAGTGGGATTCAGAACAGGTATGCAAGGATGATTCAACATAAGAAAAACAATCAATGTAATTCACCACATTAACAAAGCAAATAACAAAAACCATATGATCTTAGCAATTGATACAGAAAAGGCATTTGACAAAATCCAACACCCCTTTCTGAGAAAAACCCTCAGAAAAATCAGAATAGACGAGGATTTTCTCAAAATAGTAAACAGTATATATGCAAAACCAAGAGCCAATATCATTCTTAATGGAGAAAGACTAAAAGAATTTTCCTTGAGAACAGGGACCAGCCAGGGATGCCCACTGTCACCATTTCTATTCAATATTGTATTGGAAGTACTTGCTGGGGCAATATGACAAGAGAAGGAAAAAAAAGGCATCCAGATCGCCAAAGATATAACTGTCACTACATGAAGATGATATGACCGTGTACACAGAAAACCACAAGGACTCAACAACAACAAAAAAACAAAACTGTTAAGAGCTAGTAGACCAATTTAGTAGAATGGCAGGACATATGATCAATATTAAAAAAATCAGTGGGAGGAGAGCTCTGGTGGCCTAGTGGTAAGGAGCTGCAACTACAATCCCAGAGGTGCACGGTTCAAATCCACCAGATGCTCTGCCGGGGAAGGAGGGACAGTCTCCTCCTGTACCAGTCAGATCTGATTTGACGGTACACTCACACAAAAATAATAAAATAAAAAATAAAAAAAAAAATCAGTGGGATTCCTCTACAGTAACAGAGAAGGAAACCAAGAAAGAAATACCATTTACAATAGCCAACCACAAACTGAGATACTTGGGAGTGACTATAATAAGAGACACAAAAGACCCATACAAAGAAAGCTACAGAACATTTCTTCAAAACACAATAAAAGACTTAAAGGGAAAATGTGTCCTGTTCATCAACAGGAGGACCCAATATTGTGAAAATGACAACTCTACCAAAAGCAATCTACATGTTCAACACAATCCCAATGTTGTTGTTGTTATGTGCTGTCGAGTCGCTTGCGACTCACAGCGACCCTATGTACAAAAGCCCTAAACTCTGCTCTGTCCTGTGCCAATCATACTATCTCTGACACTCCCATCCCGATTATCCCAGTCACTGAATCAATCCACCTCATAGAGGGCCTTCCCCTCCTGCGCTGTCCCTCCACCCTCCCAAGCATGATGTTCTTCTCCAAGGACCAGTCTCTCCTTACATGTCCAAAGTATGTTAGACGGAGCCTCAGAATCCTTGCCTCCACGGAGCCACCTGGTTTAACCCTTTCCAGGACAAATCTGTTTGTTTTCCTAGCAGTCCGTGGTATTCTCAATACTCTTCTCCAGCACCACAGCACAAAGGCATCAATTCTCCTTCTATCCTCCTTGGTCATTGTCCAACTCTCTGATGCATAACAAGTGATTGCAAAGACCATGGCCTGTATCAGATGCACCTTAGTCTCCAGAGGGACACCATTGCTCTTCAGTACTTTGGAGCGGTCCCTAACAGCAGCCTTTCCCATGGCAATGTGCCTTTTAATTTCCTGGCTGCTGGTGCCAAGACTGTTGACTGTGGAGCCAAGCAAACTAAAGCTGTGTACAATCTCAATCTCTTCACCATCCATCCTGATGCCGCCAATTGGCCCAGTGGTTAGAATCTTTGTCTTCTTGACATTGAGCCTCAATCCATATTGGAGGCTGCAGTCCTTGACCCTCTGCAGCAGGTGTTTCAGGCCCTCCTCAGTTTCAGCAAGCAGGGTTGTGTCATCTGCATAACGCGGATTTTTGATAGATCGTCCTCCAGTCTTGACCCCACATTCCTCCTCATAGAGCCCAGCCTCCCGGATAATCTGTTCTGCATACAGGTTGAAAAGGTATGGAGATAGGACACATCCCTTGCGTATGCCCTTCCCAATTTTGAACCATGCAGTGTTGCCTTGCTCTGTTCTGATGACGGCCTCCTGGTCCAAGTATAGGTTTCACATTAGAACGATCAAGTGTTCTGGGACTCTCATTCTTCTCGGAGTCAGCCACAGTTTGTTATGGTCCACACAGTCAAACGCCTTTGCATAGTCAATGAAACACAGATAGACATTCCTCTAGTACTCCCTGCTTTCAGCTAAGATCCATCTAACATCAGCTACAATATCCCCAGTACCATGACCCCTTCTAAACCCTGCCTGGACTTCTGGCAGTTCTCTGCTGATGTGCTGTTCCAGTCATTTTGGATAATCTTCAGTTGAATCTTGCTTGCATGTGAAATCAATGCAATCCCAATACAGGTATCAAATTAATTTTTCAAGAAGACTGAAAAGGAAGTTGTCAAGTTTATCTGGAGAGAAAAGAGACCCCGAATAAGCAAAGCACTTCTGAAAAAAAAATGAAATGGGAGGCACAGTACTCCCTGACCTCAAAACCTACTACACAGCAGTAGTAACCAAAACAGCATAGTACTGTACAATGACATGCACATAGTCCAATGGAACAGAATTGAGAACGCAGAAATGGACCCAGCCCGTATTTGACAAGGAAATAAAACCTACCAAATGGGGAAATGACCACCTCTTCAACAAAAGGTGCTGGCAAAATTGGACTACTTTCCGCAGAAAGCTGAAACAGGATCCACATCTCACTACATACACAAAAATCAACTCAAGATGGATCAGAGACCTGGGTCTAAATCCCAAAACCATCAAGTTCATCAGAGATAAACTGAACCAAGCTTAGATGGCCTAGTCTATGATATAAAGAGACTGCCAAATACAGCCAGAAATGCTCAGTCTACAGAGCATAAAATTGATGAATGGGACCTCCAAAAGATTCAAAAAACTTTTCCCAGCATAGTGAAAAGAAAACCTACTAATTGGGAAAAGACATCTGGCAATACCATTTCAGACAAGGGTCTCCTATCAACAGTTTACAGATTCTTACAGGGTCTCTATAAGAAAAAGACTGATAATCTAATTATGAAATGAGGAAAAAACCATGGGAAAATTTGGATGGCCAACAGACACATGAAGAAATGCTCAAATCACTGGTAATAAGAGAGATGCAAAACAAAACCACAATGAGATACCGTCTCCCCTCAGCAGCAGTGGCAAAGTTTAACAGGACAGCAAGTAATAAGTGTTGAAGAGGATGTGGCAAGACAGGAAAATGGTGGGATTATAAAATGGTACAACCACTCTGGAAGGAAATTTGGTGTTTCCTCAGAAAGAGGAACATAGAAATTCCTATGATCCAGCTATTCCACTGTTTGGAATATAACCCAAAAGAATGAGAACCTGAGGTACAAACAGAGACTTGTACACCAATGTTCATAGCAGTGTTATTCATCACCACGTGGAAACAGCACAAATGTCCAACCACAACAGAATGGATTGAGACACTATGGTACACTCACACAATGGAATACTACGCAGCACACAGGTGCAATGACTTTGTAAATCATTAGCTAACTTGGAAGGGACTGGAGAGCTTTATGTTGAGTGAACTAACTCAGTCCCATAAGGACAAATACTGTATAAGACCATTATTGTAGAATGAGTATGAGGATACCAGGAAGGGCGGGAGGAGCAGAAGGGTGAGGATGTGCAAGGGGTGAGGGTGGTTAATCATTGGGTCACACAATTTGAAGGGTGGGGAGGTGAAGGAAAGGGGAAAGACCTGATGTGAAAAACAATGTTTGTGAACTTTGTAAATAAACCAGTATTAAAAAAATATATATATATATTTACAGTCTGGGAAATCTGGTGGAGACTTGCTCTGAATTGGGATGAACTACAAATGGCACTGAATTTAAAAGAGGAGCAGTAACTCCTTGAAGTACACACTCCTGGGAACAAACCAACAAACCAAAGTAAAAAAGATAGCGTTTGCCCAGGAATAAATCTCAGATGGTAGGAAGGGTGAGGAAAGAAGGATGAAAGAAAACAGTAAACCCAGGGAAGAACTGGGATGAAAGCTCTTACACTCCAGGGATTGCAATCAGTGTCCTAAGCCACAGCAGTGAGTGATCCTCATGCTCCATCTTCACGTGATGTCAACGCAAGATGTGTGGGCTGTGGACATCATGTGCTCCCACCCTCGGCAGGTCAACTGGTCACCACCTGCTTGCACCCTGAGCATGAGTCACTGCACACTAGTGTTCCGGACAGTCGGTCACTGCCAGCTCCTGTCCTCCACATAGCCTTTCACATGTGATCACACCCACTATGACTTCAGAAGGAGTTTCTGACTCGGTAGCCTAGAGGATCCTGTGGGACAAACTGGTTCTCTGCTATTCCACCAGCACTCCAGTTAGGGTCTGGACCTCTCTTAACATGCAACTACTAGTGTTAGTTTTCCTATTAGTGACAGAAACCAACATTCCTTCGCTATTTCAACCTAAAAGTCAGTCATGGCATCTCTACGGGGGCCATAACACCAGTCTTGGGGCTTCTACACCAGAACATTCAAGCGGAATTCCAGTCAGAGCCAGAAAAAACTCTGCTGCTGGTGGTACAAGCCGCCATGAACACCAAAACGCATGCAAGGCAATGCCGCAGGAATGTAGACAAGTGACTACGCTGCGATGAATGCCCACACACGACAGCCATACCACCACAAATGTGCACAAACACGATGACCACGCCTCCCTGGACATGTGCACTGTGAACACTGAGCGCACAAGCACATCACCCACACAGCAGACAATACCAGGACGGGCCCTGGACTCCAGGTGCAATGGTCCAGGGCAGTCCTTGCCTCCCCCTCGAGTGAAAAATCACAATTACTGTCACTGAGGTAGAAGGGGACGAGTGGACAGAGACTCTGCTCACAGCAGTGAGGCCAGCACTGGCTCTGGTTCTGGAGAGAGACTTGCCCCAAGGGAGATGCAGGAGGGCCAGCAATACATGTAGGATCCAGCTGCATGCAGGCCAGAGGGACAAGGGCACAGCCGGGGTGTCCAGCTGCTGGCCTCACGTGTACACTCAACACTGAGAGCCAGATATGGGCACCTGTATGGTTCATTACCTGTCCCAGGAATGCCTGTGCCAGAGTGATCCCCGGCTGGTCGAAAAACTCAGGTCCCAGTCGGGCAGGGAACTCTTGTGGACTCAAGAAGTAGATGCTGCGCTGGGGGCCCACAGTGGCTGGTGACCCCAGGTGGGTCTTCTTGTGGAGAAGTGTCCCTGCCTCCTTGGATGGGCTCTGGCTCCTCTGAGCTGCCATCAGCCGCTGCTTCTTTTGCCTGATCTTGCGAAAAAGCTGCAAGAAGAGAACAAATTGTCAATCTAGGATCATGATGGAGGATCAGGCTGTGGGGTCCAAGTCAACCTCGACAGCCCTGCCAGGGGGTCAGATGGTGTCAGACACTAAGAGGTCTCAGGCACAATCTCTTGCACCCTAGCTGCCAGCCCTGAGGGTGTGGTGGCACCCCGAAATCGCTGGGCTTCTCAGAGCACAATCACTCTATACCTCAGGCAGAGGGGTGGGCCCCTCTGCTCTCTGCCCTTCCCCCCCCAGCCCCCTGAGCCAGGTTCCGGAGTTTGCTTCCTGATCCTTGCCCTTTGCCCCCAACCTTGACCAGAATTTAAAAATACAGACCAGCAGTTTCCGGTCTAGCACATAAAGAGGTTGGAATTCATCCCTCCCCTGACCAAGATGAGAGAAAACCTAAAATAATAAAGATCAACAGCTCATTGAAGAACTGGGGCCACAGGACAAATCACCTCCCAGAAAACTGGAGAGGGCAGTAGACAGAGCCGTGGCCTGGGGGGAACACGCAGGTGGAGATCAAGTGTGGACAAACTGAAGGCAGAAGCTCCCTGGGGCCAAGATGACAGCTCCCTGCCTGTGGGGGCTCCACAAGGAAGGAAGGATTGAACCAATCGGAAGTAATGCTCTGCTAACAGTGGGCCGCCCTCAAGAAAACCAGAGTCAAGTCAGCACAGATTTAAGTGCTTTACTGCTGATTGAAAGGTTGGTGGTATGAATCCACCAGAGGAGAGAGAAGAGGCAGCCTGCTTCCTAATGGTTTACAGCCTTGGAAATCCTAAGGGGAAGTTCTGCTCTGTCCTAAGCAAAAAGTCTATGGGTTTTCTGTTGGTGGCAGGAGTTGGAAGCACAGTGGTTAAGTGTTAGGTTGCTGCCTGTCAGCTGTTTGACCCTACCAGCTGCTCTGAGGTAGAAAAGTGAGATGGTCCATCTCTGTACAGATTACAGCGTCAGATACCCTAGGGGACACCCACTCTGACATGCAGGGTCACTCCAAGTTGGAATGAACTCGAAGGTACTGGGTTTAGTTTGCTGGTCATAGTGGGAGGGAAATACTCAGGTTCAGGCCCCTTCAGCCTTCCTGTTTCACATGAAAAGCTGAGACAGAGCTAGCTCCCTAGGGTTGGTGTCACCTCCCACTTCCCCACCCCATGGACGGGCCGGCCAATGTGCTCTCAACCCTACCTCACCCCAATGTGTGGAGAAGCCTGGCAACTCCTCCCTTCCCCCACTGTCCAAGGTGAAGACCCTGCTCTCCACCCAAAGGTGGGCCCTCTTGAGTACGCACTGAATGGAGGACACCACAAATCTTAGGGTCATTTTTAGTGGCATTCCCTCTGAGTGTGAGGGGCATGTTCCACATCCTCTTAAGGACCCCACTCGAGCACAGATGAAGATAACCCAGGACACAGATGTACTAAAAGACTAACCTCCTAGGTTCACAGTCCCTGCCCTGTCTCCCTACCCTAGGTGCAGCACATCAGCATCAACTGAACTTCCCCAGGGCTTTAATAACGTGAGCACTCTTCCCTGCATCTGATGTCTGGTTTCAGCCCTGCTGAGCACCACACAAACACAACCCTCCACAGACAGACAGTGAGGGGCACTGGTGGGGAATCTCCCATGGAAGGGGAGAATTTGACCAAGCACTCTCTAAAAAGACTGTTACTAAGATGTCAATTATACTAGTGGCAAGAAGCTGCACTGCAATCCCAGAAGTGTGCGGTTCGAATCCACCAGGTGCTCTGCTGAAGGAGGAAACAATCTCCTCCTGTACCAGTCAGATCTGATTTGACAGTACACACACAAAAAACAATATAAAAGAAATTTAAAAAAAGATGTCAATTAATCCCTACTCAATCTATAAATTCAATGCTTCCCAGTCAATATTCCAGCAAGTTATTTTGTGGATAGTGACAAACTGATGCTGAAGTTTCTATGAAAAGACAAAACATCCAGGATAGAAAACAGTTATGGATTGAAGTGTATCTCCCCAGAAGAGTGTCCACTTGGCTCAACTCTGATTCTCAATATTTTATGATTATCCTGTGTGTTGTACAGCCTGACTCTTATGTTTATGAGGAAGGATTACAGGCAGTTCTATAATCATTGAGTCATTCCCCATGATGGGATCTGAGATGTGACCAATCAGGTGTAAGGGGTTTATGGCGGGATGTCACACCTCTGTTGTTGTTACATGCTGTCAAGTTGCCTGTGACGCACAGCGACCCTGTGTACAACAGCTCTAAAGCCCTATCCTGAGCCAGTCTCACTGACTCTGACACACCTACAAGCACTGCCCCATTACTGTGTCAATACACCTCTTATGGAGTCTTCCTCTCTTGTGCTGTCCCTCTAACCTTCCACGCATGATGTCCTTCTCCAAGGATTGGTCCTTCCTGGCCATGTACCCAAAGTATGTGAGATAGAGCTTCAAAATCCTAGTCTCTAAGGAGAACCTTGGTTACACCCTCTTCAGGCCAGACCTGTTTGTTCTCTTGGTGGTCCACAGTATGTTCAAGACTTTTCTCCAGGACCACAACTCAAAGGCATCGATTCTTTTTCTGTCATCCTTAGTCATTGTTCAACTCTCCAACAGAAGAAGTTATCCTGAGATCTGGCCTATATCAGTTTTGGTCTCATAAGAGATAAAAAGGAGAGAAAAACAAGCAGAGAAGAGGGGAGCTTTGCTACTACCAGGAAGGAAGAACTGGAAGTCCATTATACCCTGTGGACCCAGGTTCCTATGTTCAGAAACCCATGGAACCAGTAGATACAGAAAGAGAAAGCCTTCCTCTAGAGCCAGCAGTGTGGGAAGACAAAGTAAAGTATTACAATGAAATGTTCTAAGAGCCAGAGTCAGAAAATCAAAAGGGCTGAACCTGCTCAGCATTTCTTAAGCTGAAGGAATTGAGGAACAAATTCAAACAGCAAGATGCAATACTTAAGGATGCTTTGAGCAGAATATGAAATGATCCAGGAAGCAATGGTTGACACAGAAGAATTAATGAAACAACATATGAGCAACAGTCTGTGGTGATGAAGGAAGAAGTTCAAGCTGCCCTGAAAGAATTGGCAAAAACAAGGCCCCAGGAGTTGATGGCATACCAATTGACATATTTCAACAAATAGATGCTGCCGTGGATGTGCTCACTAAGTTGTGCCAAGAAACCTGGCCTACTGACTGGAAGAGATCTATATTTATTCCCACTCTCAAGAAAGGTGACCTGACAGAATGTGGAAATTATCAAACAGTATCATTCACATCACATTCAAGCAAGATTCTGCTGAAAATGATCAAAAAATGACTGGAATAGCACATCAACAGAGAACTGCCAGATGTGCAGGCTGGGTTTAGAAGAGGCCATGGTAATAGGAATATTGTAGCTAATGTTAGATGGATCTTGGCAGAAAGCAGAGAATACCAGAGGAATGTCTTTCTGTGTTTCATTGACTATGCAAAGGCATTTGACTGTGTGGATCATAACAAACTGTGGCTGACTCTGAGAAGAATGGGAATCCCAGAACATTTGGTTGTACTTATGTGAAACCTATACTTGGAACAGGAGGCAGTCATCAGAACAGAGCATGGAAACACTGCATGGTTCAAAACTGGAAAGGGCATATGCTAGGGATGTGTCACATCTCCATACCCTTTTCAATCTATATGCAGAACAGATCATCCAGGAGGTTGAGTTTAATGACAAGAAATGTGGCATCAGGATTGGAGGAAGACTCATTAACAATCTGCATTATGCAGATGACACAACCCTCCTTGCTGAAACTGAGGAGGACCTGAAGTGCTTGCTGCAGAAGGTCAAGGACTGTAGCTTTCAATATGGATTGAAGCTCAACATCAAGAAAACAAAGATTCTCACCACTGGGCTGACTGGCAGCATTATGATAGAAGGTGAAGAGATTAACAGCTTTAGTCTGCTTGGCTCCACAATCAACACTCTTGGTACCAGCAGACAGGAAATTAAAAGACAAATTGTATTGGGAAAGTATGCTGTCAGGGATCTCGCCAGAGTACTCAAAACAATGATATCAATCTAGAGACTAAGGTACACTTGATCCAGGCCATAGTCTTTGCAACTACTTGCTATGCCTCAGAAAGCTGGATAATGACTAGGAATGATAGAAGGAGGATTGATGTCTTCGAGCTGTGGTTCTGGAAAAGAGTATTGGACATAACATGGACTGCTCAGAGAATAAACAGGTTTGTCCTAGAGAGGGTGAGACCAGGATGCTCCTTGGAGTCAAGGATTCTGAAGCTTCGTCTGAGTTACTTTGGGCATGTTGCAAGGAGGGACCAGGCCTTGGAGAGGAACAACATGCTTGGATGGGTGGAGGGACAGGGTAAGAGAGGAAGACTCTGAATGAGATGAACTGATTCAGTGACTGAACAGACAATAAAGTTGGCACAGGATAGAGCAGGTTTCAGGGCTATTGTCCATAGGGTGGCAATGAGTCTCAAGCGACTTGACGGCACAAAACAACAACAACAACAATAACAGAGCAGCATCCTTTATTTGGACTCATAGCCTCCTAAACTGTAAGAGAATAAACTTCTGTTTATGAAAGCAATTCTGTTACAAATGTACCAGATAGCGAAGCTGCGCCAACACAGTAATGAAGAAGAGTACGTTTGGAGGACTGAGTCTGGTGTGGTATCAGTGAAGGCATTGGAACAGAACAGCAACCTGAAATAGACCCACAAGATGCATTCAACAAATATTAGACAAGGAGCAAGGGCAATTCAGTGGAGAAGAAGGTCATTTCACCAAATGACCCTGGCAATCTGCATGTAGAAAATGAACTTCGACTTTACATCATCCACAAATTATCTTAAAATGGATTATAGTCAAAACCATGTGGCATTTGCATAAGAATACACATATATACTGTCTTAGTATCTAGTTCTGGAATTCCCATTCTTCTTAATATGTGAACAGAGCAAAGTAACACTAGATGGTTTAAAATTAAGAAAG